ACGGAGAAGACAATCCTTGTGTTCGGCTATAGCCAGGGCTTCGGCAAAGCAGACCATTCCCTCACGTGTGACATACTTAGGCACCACTTCAAGGGCTATACAGCAATCAATTGGTCCGATGAGGGCTTTTAAGCATCCAATCCAACATCAAATGCAGTAAATACTGAAGGACACGGGGTTATGGAGGTACAGGTGGTTACGGTGGACACGCTGGCGTAGACAAGGAGGTTATGGTGGTTATAGGAGACATATAGTGGCCATGGAGGTGGTTATCATTAATAGAAGTAAAGGTGCTCACATTTATTACTTAAGTTTTAAAAAACTTTTTATTCAATCAGTAAAATTAGTTTAGAAAGTAATCGTAAATTTTACAAATAATAATTCATTCAACATTAAATAAGGTCTAATTATCTACATTGATTGTTTTATTAAATTCATTAATATAGTAATTCTTTGTATATAAAAATTATAAATTGTTTGTAATTAATGTAAAAGTGTTTGTGATGATATTCTGAATATATTAATATACAGTATTTGTATTTAAATGTAGTGTTTTGTTGTCTGTATTAACTGTTCATAATTTAGTAAAGATTTCAATTTAAAACAAACTAAACGTTATAATATTTCGTATACTTTTGTTACGCCAAACATTTGTATGGTATATGTATTGACAGTCAATTGAGATTCTGTACAGAATCTGTACTACAGATTCGTTAAATAGACTTTTGTGTCCAAATAGTCACATCAGATGTCTCTTACATCCCATGCATTCAATTCATATAAGATTTAGAGGCCTTACAATTAAATGACACAATAAATCGGTCAATGAATGAAAACTTTTAAAACATTGTTCCCGAAGTAACCAATGCTTAAGACATGGATTATAGTAATCCATACAATAATAAATGACTTTTTATAGTCATAACGATAAGTTAAATGTTAATTAATTAGTTTTATTTTAAAAATAACTAACATTTTCCACACCAATCATAGTATGGATAAAAAGCCTACATTTGGGCCCTTTTATACCTACACACCTATGGTAGCGTAATATGTATGACGTATACGCGAAACACGAAAACATTGTAGACGTGAGCGCATGCAAACGTACGCTCGTGGTCCACAAGCGTGGCATAGAAACAGTACGTGCGAATCGGTGTGTTTGCGCCAAACGCTGACAAACGGTTTGGGCTTTTGTTTGCAACAAATCAAACGCCAAACAAATTGCAATCAAAACGGCTTTTCGGCACTCATTGGACGCGCAACGCACTCACCGGACACTTGTTGGCCGCACATCCGGCCCACTACTGGCCCCCCATCGGCACAATCGCCGCCTTTAACGGTAATTATAATTACGATTCAGACGTAATGTATTGTTATGTATGGAGATATCATTCATTACACCATTGAATACAATAAATTAAGTGATCATTCATTTGATTAGCGATATATCACGAGTTATTAATCACCCATTGATTGCCATTCAGTGCTAACTATGCGTGCATTGCAGTCACGCTTATGAGCCGTTGTTTTGTTTATACATTGTTTGCCTAATTTTATGCCATTTTATGCCATTTCCCTAATTATCACACATTTTTGGTGTCTTTTGGTGCCGTTGTATGACTCGCGAGAGCGCATCCATTTCCACCCATACCTACCATTCGCTGCTGTTTTCATTGCTTTTGTAATTAAGCGTCAAATTAGTTGTCATTACTGTTAGCCATCGATCGCCTCATTCAGTGGTTGATCGCCGCAAATGGCTATCATTTCGGTGTTTTATAACCACTTTGATCTCACTTTGTATTCATTAATGGCTTTTATTGATGTAAATATTGATTCAGTTATTATGACAAAACTGTTTACAAAACTAATGATCACTTAAACGTGTGACAGAATGGATAGCTATAGTATGGACGAGACAGTGGTGGCCACCGCTGCCATCGAAGACAATCTCAATGATGAGTTGGACGGAC